ACCATCTATATATAGTATTCTATATATATTATTATAAAATATGTATAAAATTATTTTATTTTACTATAAGTAAAATTATTTTATGACATACCTTGATTGATTTAAGTAGGATTTTCCAATTTCTTCCAGCAAAAAGAGAACTTACTTAAAATTCTTCACGATAGAGGTAGTATTCACATTTCGATTGTATTAAATTATAATGTTGAGCCACATGAAACTGAAATTTGTTAATGTCGACTGATACGTTGATAAACGTTTGCTTTGCATTTTTAATGCAAATAACGGACAATGACCGATCAATGTATACGAGAATGTATAGAAGTTCTTTATGGCTATCTCTCTGCCTGTTTTTTTTTTCTTATAACTGCGGTAATCATTGAAATGTCGGATTATTTACTTGCAATTTATAAGATAAGAAGATACGGAAAAATATGATGGAAACACAAGATAAGTATATTTTCTATTGATTTACAACTGGAGGGGAGAGGTTTACTTGAGTACTGAATTCATAGAATTTTACAGTTTCACTGAGACCTTTTGATCGACCACATCATGACTGTTAACTATAACTAAGCTGAGATAATTAATCTGTATGCTGCAGTTAGAAATTTTAGAGCTCATGTTCTAACCAATAATATTATAAAATATAACATTGTGTTAGAATTTCGATGCTGCTTAAGCTGTGTGCACTCATTATTTATTTTAAATAATTCGTTAAATAAATTTACGTCTTTTCTCTGATTATAATCTTACCATAAGGTAGACAGAAAAGAAAATCGCGTTAACTTAGAGTGTTATAACACATTTGTGCTATCGTGCTGAGACTAATTTGCTCGGAGTCAATGAATAACGGTATAGAATCGGAGAATATAGTATGTCGTCCTATCAAGTTCGGACTTCGCCTAATCGGCGTATGGCCAGGCACGTCATATGCAATCTTGCGCAGAGTGTTCTGTATATCTTCAATGGCGGTATTTCAGATTTTTCAATATTGGTACGTGATCTTGCGTTTCGGAGAGGAAGATCTCTTACTCCTTATGGATGTATTAAGCGCAACTATGGCTTACAGTCTTTTGCTAATCAAACTAATTATTTTTGCATTCAATGCTCGGTAAGTTTTTTTGTTATAACACTGAGTCATAAATACAATTCGCAAAATAAATATATTGAATTATATTCTTTAGATTCTAGGTTGTAAGTTAAAAGAAAGAATCTTGAATTTATAGTATATCACTTTTGCTATTAATTTGTAACCATCTGACAACATCTCGCGAAATAAAAAAATCTCCGCGTTTTTGCACACACAACTCGGTCAATATTATATTTCTTTATAGTCTTTCCGTTATAGTCTGCTGAACGAAATCATAGCACACACAATTGTTGACTGGAAGGAGCGCGATGTTTACGACGAATACACGATGACTAGGATGGCGTACATCTCTCGTCGGTTCTCCAACTTCATAATTGCTTTGTACGCGCTTTCGGTGTTCCTTTATGCAACCGGTACTTTGTTGAGGTTTAAAAGTAATAATCAGACTGACACTCGAGAACTTCTCCTTAAAATGGAATTACCTTTTGAGATTAAGAGCACATCGGTGCATATAGCTGTCTTTGTTACACAATATGTTCACCAAACAAGCGCAGCCAGTATGGTGGGCGTGATGAATTCCTTGCTAATAACATTAGTAAGTTTGAATTTTTCTCATAATTTGTCGGTGTTTCTGAAAGTCGTAAAAAGAATAATATGACATGTAGAGAAGAGGAACTTTCAAAATTTAACCTATACAAAATATTCTAAAATATAATATAATAAATATATCAAATATATAAATATCTTAATAATAATTTTTTCGATTTATATTGAAAAAATTGTTACTGAAGCAATAAAAACACGTTTTCACTGGGCGAAACATTAAATTGAACTGACACTGCATATTGTGACGTTTAGGTTCTTCATGTGTGCGGACAAATTGATATTTTGCAGCAAAAATTGTGTGAAATCACGCACAAGGACATCAAGCGAGGTGTAAACGACAGGATTATGAACATGTTGATTATTCGGCATCAAAAGATTATCTCTTTTTCCAAGAATATCGAAGACTTTTTCTCAAATATCGCGCTAATACAATTTGTATCAAATACTATGGTTATATGTTCTCTAGGATTTCTTATTGTAATCGTAAGTACACGTAAAATTATCTAACTTATAACTTTGAAATATATATTATTACAAATTTTTAGTCTGTGGGTGTCCCGGGTGGAATGTCTATGCTAATAAAGTCTGTGTTTTTTTACATTGTTATAAACATGGAAGCATTTATATTTTGTTTCCTTGGAGAACATCTCAGTACAAAAGTCAGTATTTCACGTAAAGCGAAGTGGATACAATACACTACTCAGATTATTTATTATATATTTTAGAGCCAAGAGATCGGCGATGCTGTGTATGAATTGCTTTGGTACGAATTAAATCCAAATCAAAATCGAGATATTCTAATTTTGATCATAAGATCGCAGAAACACTTGAAGCTCACGATCGGAAAAGTTATGGATCTTTCCCTCAAGCAATTCGCTAGCGTAAGAAATTAGTAATGTAACAGAAGTGATTAAGAAAAGCATATTTATAAAGCAACTATTAATGTGTGAATATTTTGACATCTTAATAATGTTCTTTAGTCGCTTCGTGGTTTGTATGACGTTTGCAATGATAGTAATAAAATGTTTATGTCAAATTTTGCAGATGGTGAAAGCTTCGGCGTCGTACGTGTCGGTGTTGTACGCAATGTATTGAAGCTTCAATACACTGCATGTCGCTTATATCTTCGCGTGCAGAAGGATATGGTACTTTTACTACCATCAGTTTACACGGTTAACAATTTTCCTATTCAAAGAGGCGAAGTTTTACATCAAGTGTGTAGACAAGCGGGGTTACTAAAGCATCGATTTCCCGAGGCATTCGTTCGCGATAGCTTTATTTAGCCTGCAGTGTATAAAGGCAGAGCTATAAATACATTGTTGATATTTTCGATCGATGTACTTTACCAAATCTGATAATAAAGTGATAATCAAAATAAACGCGTTTATATAAAAACGATAAAAACGATTAATTTAATCAATTACTAACATTTTCATATTAAGAACTAAAAATTGATTTGAAAGGTACTTAATATAATAAAATTAAACTATAAGAAATCAAACTTATTTATATTAAAGGTGCAGTGTAGAAATAATATATACAATAGTAATATAGTATTATAAAGTACTCACCTTGGCTGTAAGAAAAAATCTCCCGATGAACTGCATTTTTCTTTGTCTGTATCGTCGTTCTGTATAAACCGTTATATTCCTGCTTGCACTGCCGTTGTTCAAGCACTGCACGAGCGCGAGCCCTCTTGCAAGCCACCTATAGCGCCAAATGTAATCTTTACACTGGTCTTCTTATTCCTACGATACGTCTTAGCTTTCCTCCCTCTCGATTCCCCACGTTACGTTTTCTTCCCCCCCAGAAGCAAAACATTTCAACCTCGCTGCATGCAATTTGTCGAAACTGCGTTCCATCTTTTCTTTACCTGTTGAATTTTTAAAGAGAACATATAGTTGCATTATAATCAAAAGTTCGGAAAGAAAGAGAGACTGCCTCTATTATCTATATTTCTAAAATTACAGTTACAATCGTTCCTTTTAAAATTATAGTTACAGTTTTTTCTTACTTTTTTTGTACGATGTAACAAAAATATTAAACAAGTTTTGATAGGCTAATGGTCGACGACACGGGTCGCGTTCGGCTGTCGACTCGTGATCAAGTTTTAGCATAAATAAAGTTATTCTACAACGCGATATTCTGTAACACGATTGATCTGTTGCCGAGAAGTATGGGGATGGTCACGCTCAGTCGATTGGTCAGGTTTGGCCTTCACGTTTACGGTATATGGCCACATGCATCGTCCACTGTGGTGTTTAGATCGTACTGGATCGTAATGCTAAGCATGGCCCAAGTCTTTCAATATCGATACGTAATAATGAACATTCATATGGACGATTTTTCCCAGTATATGGACGGAGTAAGCAGCGCAATGGCATCTACTCTACTTTATATTAAGCTTGTTATTCTTTGGACCCATCAACGGTAGGGCGTGCTTGTGAAAAAAATATGTAAATTATGTTACATCTCATTATCAGCATTTGCCGAAACTATCAGCAAAAAAATATCAAATAATCAATTTTTAATATTATTCAATCGATTTAATTGGAATTTGAGAATATACACACGAGTGCGTATAATATTACAAGTTGTCTGTTCTTTCTGATATTTTAATAAAATATTTGCACTAAATTCGAAATTAATCAAAATTGAATGAATAGACATTAACACGAATGGACTGATTTTCCGTAGAATATTTTTCGATATATTGCAAATGATGTCTACGGACTGGCAAGACTACGCTTCAAACAGCTATAGCTTACGTATAATGACAGACACGGCGAATGTTGCACATCGCGCCTCGAGATGGATCATCGGCACGCAAGTGGTCGCTGTATTTTTGTACGTTGCCGGTGTATTCGCCGCTAATGCAAACGATTCTGAAAGATTAGAGCCGTACGCGCGAGAGCTTATTCTGAAGATGGAGTTGCCGTTCAATATTAGCACAAATTTTATTTACATGACAGTACAAATTGTTCAAATTTATCATCTGCTTTTAGTCGCCTGTGGCATTACGATTATTAACTCACTTCTTGTCACTCTGGTAAGTTCAAATTGCACGATACAATCGCAAAATTGAAAGTGATTAGAAATTTTATTCTTCTTGATTTTTTTAATTCAAATCATATATTAATTAAAACTACGAATAAATTAAATTACATATAAACGTAATATATTATACGTATAGCTTTAGTTTTAGTAACATCTTAATAAATATCATCTAAATAAATGATTTGCTAAATTATATTTTTTCTCATGTCTTTAAAAAAATAACTTTATAAAATATTTTTTTATTTTTCTGGAAAAGGGAGATTATAAGCTTTATAGCTTTATGATCTCTTCTCATCAGAAAAATAAAAAATTATTTTTTAAAATAAACCTTAGATACTTCACATCTGTGGTCAAATCGACATTCTTCGAAAATGGTTGTCAACAGTTTTTTCCAAAAATTTAGATTCGATGAACAAAATTACTATGCGATCTTTGATCATAAAGCACCAGCGCATTATAGCATTTGCAGAAAATATCGAGACTCTTTATACGTATATTGCATTGATGATGCTCTTATCAGACACGATGATTATATGTTGTTTAGGATTTATTATCGTCATCGTAAGTAATGTGTTCAAAATGATGTTCCGTTATTACAATATCAAATATTGCGTAATGAGTCAAAAAACTATTGATAATTATTAATACTAAAGATGTCTAAAATCATCATACGTGTGTGTGTGTGTGTGTGTGTGTGTGTGTGTGTGTGTGTGTGTGTGTGCGCGCGCGTGCGTGCGTATATATGCAACTAGCACATATTAAATTACTATATACAAACCCCTTAGTTGACAAGTGGCATAAATTTCTTTCCTTAATATTATACTAATTGTAAGTGGACTTTTGTGTAATAATTGTACAAAAAATTAAGAACAGAATGTAACTTTATTGTAAGAAAATAAATTGAAAAAATAGTATTTCTGATAATATAACTTAAAATACATAATTTAAACGCTAAAAAACTAGACTTAAGTCACTATTCCATATATTTTTACGGTCACTTTATTTATGATGTATTGATTTTTATTTTTTATGAACATAAAAACAAAATACAAGTAAATTAAATTGATAGGTAAAACAAACATTCTTAATACTTTCTACTTCTATAACAAACGCATTTTTTCTAATTTTGGACTTATGCCACTTGTTAACTAAAGGGCTCATATATAAGTATGAAAATTTTAGTCGCTCGACACACCGAATGCTGCAGCGATTTTGGTGAAATCTGTATTATTCTACATCTCGATGAATCTCGAGGCATTCATATACTGTTTCTGTGGCGAATATCTGAGCGCCAAGGTCAGTATCAAGAGTAAAATGGTAATTTTATTAATTCATAAATATCTCGGATGTATTTTGTACTCTTCTTTTTTCAGAGCAAAATGATTGGAAATGCCATATACAATTCTCTCTGGTATGAGTTTTCAGCCAAAGAAAGTCGAACTATACTGTTTCTTATTCTGAGATCACAAAAAAGATTGACGATCACGAGCGGAAAAGTCGTCGACCTTTCCTTGGAGCGATTTACTAGTGTAAGATTTAATTTGTGATAATTTTTTTGCATTTGTCTGTTTTATAATGCGAAACTCAAATATCTTCTACAGACTTTATATATACATATACAGAGTGTCTGGAAAGTAAACGGAATGTCTGGAAAATAAACAATTTTTGTCTCTTGCAGTTTTTCTGTAAAATTGATAGTATTTAAGTAAAAAATTATTAGAGATCAATTTTCGACAATTTTTTGCAATTAATATCTTATTAAATATTGCTAAAATCGTAAAATGGTAGAGAACTTTTCTGCTCAATTTAGTTCATTCTGATCCTATACAAAAGATTTATTATTACATTCCAAACACCCTGTATATACAAATATTATTTTTTAAAGATTTTGATTAATATCGAATGAGTATTCGTTCTTTTGTTATACAATCGTAACAATACACATTGAAATAAAATTCGCTATTCTTATTTCTTCATATTAATTAAATAATAATTTTAACTGCAATTAGCTTAACAATGTTCATAATTTCACATCTTATTATATTACACAAATTAGTTTCTATATCTTCCATTCGTTATTATATTATTATTTAATTATATTCCTCTTCATATTATTATATTGA